TCCAGCCCCCTTGAGGCGTGCCTCCAGTCCACTAATGACCGCGGACCCGTTAGCTCTTCAACGGATGGCTCGCCACCTCGTCTCTTACATTGTTGGGTAAGTCACAGTCTGCCATCATCTCTCCCGCCGCCTGCGAAACTCTCCTCGCCGAGGAGGCCCACAGCAGCGTTTTCTCTCGCTCTCTTTGGCTTCCATGAAGAATATACATGGTCCGTGTTTCCGAAGCGGCCTCAAGACCCGCTCCATGTAGAAACAACCACGCTTTTAGCACTTCTGATCTTTTGCCAATTTTCTTTGCTTTTCTCTATCTGCTCGGCACAGAAAACACCGAATGAGACTGACAATGTCCCAGCCACACTCCCTCGCAGGCCGACGTTGCCGTCTTCAAGGCCCTCTCCTCCGGCCCTGACGCCGCCAAGTACCCCTACGCCGCTAGGTGGTACAAGCACATCGCCACCTACGAGTCCGAGTTTGCCTCCCTCGCCGGCGATGCGTCCAAGCCCTACTCCGTCTACGGCCCCGAGGCTGGCGAGCTCACCCTGAACCCCGCCAAGGCCCCCGCCGCTGAGGAGGACGAGGACGACGTCGACCTGTTTGGCTCCGACGACGAGGAGGAGGACGCCGAGGCCGCGCGCATCCGTGAGGAGCGTCTCGCCGAGTACAAGAAGAAGAAGGAGGCCAAGCCCAAGACCACCGCCAAGTCGGTCGTCACCCTTGACGTTAAGCCTTGGGGTATGTTTTCATTCTTCTCCACCGAAACGAGAGCCATGACTGACAAACGAATCCAGACGACGAGACCGACATGGCCGCCCTCGAGGCTGCTGTCCGTGGCATCGAGAAGGACGGTCTGGTGTGGGGTGCCTCCAAGCTCGTTCCCGTCGGTTTCGGCATCAAGAAGCTCCAGATCAACCTCGTCATCGAGGACGAGAAGATCTCGCTGTCCGACCTCGAGGAGGAGATCCAGGGTTTCGAGGACCACGTCCAGTCCACCGATATTGCTGCCATGCAGAAGCTGTAAGAAGCTTGAATGAATGATGTGGAGGGATGAATTTTATGAGGCATGATCGGGGTGGGATTGGGAGACACGATGGTTCACGCAATACCCAGAGGGGCATTGAATGAATTCGCCTACATAGACATTCCATGTTTGGAATCATGAATGCAAAAAGCAATGAGAGGCAAAAAACAAAAACCAATAACCATTGTAACCGTGCCAGGTGGAATCTGTCTCACCCAGTAAGGAGTCTTGTACCTCATTGGGCCGCATGCATTTACAAGGTGTAGTGCGCTAAACAATACAATGGAGGGGTCAGTGGGTCGTCCTTGTGGTGCAGCACAGGAGACGCGCCTCGTGCCGAGTCGCGACCTCGAAGACTTCCTCTGTGAAACCCGCCCTCGCGCCACTCCTCTGTGGTTCTGCATCCTCCTTCCCTCCCCGCGGCCTTACTCGTCTTCTCGCCAGTCCCAGCTCAGATGTACGGCGACCTCGGAAACAAGCTGGTAAGAAACCTCCTCCGCCTCCACGTCCAGCACACCGCAACCTGACACAGGCTTCACCACCAGGTGCTCCAGGCCAAGCGCACCCAGAACCTCGCCCATCTGCCCCCCTACCAAGCCGAGATTGTCCGCGCCGTGACGCGCGAGGTCCGCGACCTCGACAAGGATGTAGCCGAGCTCCTCGCGCCTTACCAGGGCACGTTCGACCCGGCCGAGCACCAGTCGACGGCCTGCACGCTCCTCGTCAACCACCTCGCCATGCGCCGCAACAAGCGCTGCCTGCTCGCCTACCACCGCACACGCTCCGACAAGCTCGAGGAGCTCGTCTGGAAAGACGCCGACGTGCTCGACCTGTCGGGGCAGCAGGTGCGCGAGGGGCCGGCGGGCGGCAGCGGCGGCCGCGGCGGCGGCGGGCCCGGTGCCAAGGTCAGCAGCGGCGACGGGTCGACGAGCAGCCTGAGCCCGCAGGAGGAGGAGTACGTGCGGAGCTACGGCGACCTGCTGGCGGCGTACAAGGGACAGTGGACGGATATCGATCTGACCGGGAGCCTCGAGCCGCCGCGGGACCTGTTCATCGATGTGCGGGTGCTCAAGGACGCCGGGGAGATTCAGACGGAATACGGGTAAGGGGATTGGAGGTTCTCGCCTCGCACTGCCTGCCGAGGCCTTTTTTTTTTCTTTTCCCCCTTTACGTTATTGCAATGGCTGGCTGACTTCCCTTGGTCCGCAGATCGATCACGTTGACGAAGAACAGTCAGTTCTATGTACGACAGGGCGACGTGGAGCGACTCATCACGCAAGGATACCTGCAAAAGCTGGATTGAAGACATGCTGTTTTTTGACAGTTGTCACCTGATGCATGAGAAAATGGAGTTTGTTGGTGCAGGACGCGTCGCCCGTGATGGCCCAATGACGCGGCGAACCAGATTATCACAAAAGCGGGAGCACGCATGGCTCTCGGTGAGGGGCTCAGGTGTCATCTGGTTCACCAGAAAGAAAACAACTCGATGCGCCAGACGCATGCCGAGACGAGGCGTGATGGACCCCTTGAACTTTCGTGCGTGGCCACCTCGACGGGTAGCTACGAGTGCAACGCTGAAGTTGGGTTGTCGCACGAATGCCGGTGTCGGACGTTGTACGCGGCACAGAACGTCCGGCAGAGGAGACGAAACGAGACGTCGAGCTGACACCGGAAGCTGGAGCCGCGGCGGCCGGGCGGGCTGGGCGCTGGGCGCTGGGCGCTGGGCAATGGACACTGCCAGCAGCGGGCAGGGCGACGACTGGTGGAAGAAGAGCTGGATACCAAGGCAAGCAAGGGCATCAGGGCTACCTATTTTCCACAGCATACATGTAACATGCCAAGTCAATTGAATGACACCAAACGACTAAAGATCACATCTCTGAAGTGTTGCATGTTGGGGTTCCCATTGTTTTTCATACGTGATGGCGTTGACAGAAGAAAATGACATGTGGAGGGCTACATGGTACAGTACCTACACTACATGTACCTACCTCCTGACTCCTGACGATACGGGCCAGTTGTGGAATCACGGGCAAACCCTAGGTACCTTGGCGATCACTAAAACCGGCGCTGCCGGACGAGCCCCGCCGCTCGTGGGCTGCAGCGACGATCCTGGCCACTGGCCATGTGGGCTCACGGGCTTGACGGGCCAAACGCACTGCTGCTGTGTTCAGCCCTTTGCATCCGGTAGCGCGATCACGAATGAGTCTGGATTTCCCTAGAAAGCGTGTCGTGCTTGGATTGCCATTGTAGCGGTCGATTGCGACATGGATACCTACCTACCTAGGTAGGTAGGGACGGCGTCGTTGTTTTGAGTTGCTGACGGCGGCCCTGTCAGGGAGGTGCAGAGAATTCATCACCGAAGCCTCTGGCTGGCAGTTGGGCTCCAGGGGGGGGGCCATGGGGAGTCTCTGGGGGAAGCGATTGGCCTGTGTGGCAGGGTGGCGGCTGAATGGCGTCACTGAGGCTGCTTCGTCTGGTGCACCTGCTGCATTGCTGCACCCTTCTGCACCTGCTGCACCCTTCTGCACCTGCTGCACCCTTCTGCACCTGCTGCACCCTTCTGCACCTGCTGCACCCTTCTGCAAGCTACTGCTGCCCACGCTGCCCTCATGCTGCTGCTGGCTGCCAGGACCAACCTGAACCGGGACCTGGACCGACCTCAATCTTCAGGTGCGGGGCTCAATTGAACTGAACGCGCGCTGGCGCCTCATGCAAATTTGCCGGAAGAACTGATCAGGCCAACCCAACCTACCTTGGACAGGACCGAGTCCCACGATACCGGCAGACGGAAGACCGCAGCCGGATCCCCTTCGAAACGCACACCATCTGTGTCCTGTCACGACAGACCTGTCAAGACAGGTTGACTCGATGGAGCCAACATATGGCATTGGCATGTTCGACCTACCTACCTAGGTACAATTCAAGTTCAGGGACCACCAAGAAAGACATCAGCATCGCCCAGCCGGCCCCATGGCTTATCTGCCCCATACCCTTCCCTAGCGTTCCTACGTCGTCTCCCCCATCCTCGTCACACCTTCAGCTCTCCATTGCATACCAGTTCCCACCCCCATCGTGTTGCGGGCGCTAGGATGGCCCAGAACTAATCCCTTTCTGTAAATACTTTTGCCTGCTTCTTCTTCAGCCAACTGGAACCCGAGCGACCTTGGCTTTGACTGGCTTTGCCTGGCCCTGCAGCAAACCTTCCTCCTCCTCCTGCTCCTCCGGTTCGGACCTGATGCTTTGCCCCTCGCCGCAAACCCTCCATCG